AGTCCCACGTGCGGTCCCTGCCAGCATGGAGCTGATGCCAGGGCTGTGAAACCCAGCACAGGTGTTTGTAGCCTGCTTGCTGCCTGCTGCAGCTGCCCAGAGCCCAGGCTGGCTACAAACAGCTGCACAAGGCTCCAGAGCCCAGTCATCAGCTCTGTGCCAGCAGCAGGGGAGAGGCTGGGGTTGCGCTGCCTCAGGCCCCCGCCACCATCCACTCCGAGGTGCACGTGCACCTGCCAGTATGGAGCTAATGCTGGAGCCTGAAGCAGAAGTTTGCAGCCTCCTGGCTGCAACCGGTCCAGGCTCTGGGTAGCTGCTGTCAACCATGGAGCCCAATCTGCTTGTAGCAGGGCTTGCAGCTGCCCAGTTGCCTGCTGGGAGCAGCCTGGGCTTTGTGGCTGGCAGCAGCTGCCTAGAGCCCAGGTGCAGTAGCATGCTGAGCAAAATAACCTTGTGTGACATGCTCAGCACATGTGCTGGGGGTTGCTGACCCCTGAGCTAGGTGTTATTTTCACTGGGGCTGGTCCCCAACCCACTTTATACTGACAATTCAAGTCAAGTCAGGCAAGAACTGAAAGTCCTCCTTTGACTTCCCACAATTCTCTGTTCTCAGAAAGGCAGGTAGGGTCTCCCAACAAATCACAGAGGAAGGATCATGGAGCATCTCAGCCCACTACAGTGCAAAGAACTATCCTAATCTACAGGTGATCATACGTCCAGTGAGAATGCAGAAACTTGGTTATGGCTCTTTGGTGTGATAGCTAACCTGGATGGATGTGCAGAACCAGGTTCTCATCACTTGAGCTAACACTGCACTGAAGATGCAGACTAAAACTGTAAGGTATTCTGATAGTAAGAAACCTGAAATAGCTTCATTCTTAAGAGCCCCAGTCACCATCCACTGCTTTCATTGAGAAGACTAAATCAGGCCTGATCTTGCACTAATGAAGTCAGTGGGTTTTTTAGGTAGGAAGAGTGTTGAGCCCAGTAACTTTAATCTCTTAAGTATTTCAAAAAGAGTAGGAAGACCTTTCTTATTCATTTTTTAATTCATTTTGATCAAACTCATGATAAAAACAGCCTCTAGTAAAATTTCACAACTAAAAAGATGTGGGTGTGTGAACACTCTTAGAAAACACGCCCTGCTCTTGGCTGAATAAGATCCAGAAGAGAAGATAGCTGAGGGGTAAATAGTGTTCACTAGCGCTGCTTGCAGACGTTTAAAAAAAAAAAAAAAATAGCAGCACTTTAAACCTGGTGTGTTCCCGCACTGAGCCCAGTGCATGCCCAGAAGAGACTTAGTTGGATCCAGCTTGTATACTTGGACCTGGGTGCTTTTTTGGCACTCTTATCTCATAGATTGGAAGGGGCCTCGCAAGATCATCGGGTCCAGCCCCCCTGCACTCGGTAGAAAATCCAACTGGGGTCAGGTGACCCCACCAAGGTGACTGTCCAGTTTCCTCTTGAAGATTTCCAGGGTAGGTGATTGCACCACCTCTGGAGGGAGCTTATTCTGCAGTCAGGACACCCTAACTTTGAAGAAGCTTTTCCTAGTGTTAAGCCTGAAATGGTCTTCCAGAAGTTTGTGACCATTACTGCTGGTTTTCCCCAAGGTTGTCCTGGTGAACAGTTGTTCCCGAGTCCTTGATGTATTCCCCTGATGTAGTGGTAAGCCGCTACCAAGTCCCCTCTCAGCCTTCTCTTTTTAGGCTGAAAACACCCAAGTCCCACAGCCTTTCCTCATATGGCTTGCCTTGTAAGCCTTTGATTATACAGGGGGCTCTTTTCTGGACTCTTTCAAGCTTTTCCACATCTTTGTTGAAGTGCAGTATCCAGAACTGAACGCAGTACTCCAGCTGCGGTCTCACCAATGCTGAGTAAAGTGGAAGAAATAGCTGACTGAAAGCACCATAAAGCCCCACTGAAGTGCTTGATCTGTACAGATGCTGCAGAACCAGGTTGAAGTAACATGCTGCTGCTTCCAGTAAAGTGCATTGTGGTTTTTTGGGGGTGTTTTTGTTTGTTGTTGTTTTGGGGGGGGTTTAAATGTCTGCAAGCAGCCTAGGTGACTTCCTTTATACTCTGTATTTCCCACCCACTTTGTAATCTGTAATGTCCTTGTTCTTCTCAACAAAAACCTACTAGAGCTCTCTAGAACAGTGTTCCATCTGCCTCAAGTGCTTCCATACCTAGAGGTGACATGTAGCTTTTGTTTGAGGATAAACAAGACATTGGGAATGCTAATGTATCCCTCAGAGGGTTGGCTTGTCCTGTATTGCTGTCCACAAGAAGATCTCCTCCTCTTGGGTTCATACTTGAAAAACAAACTAGACCATGGAATGGGAATGCATACCTCTTCTGCCTCTCCCCTTGTACAAACTGTATGTCTTGGGTTGCTTAATTAGAGCACTTGCTGGAGCCATGTTGCCTGTTCTACATAGTCAGTATGGAGATCCCAGTGGCAGGAAAATATTTTTAGGAGAATTATGCCAATGAAACTTTAATGTAAGGGAGCCAGTGCAGAGACTCACAAGCCCACAACTTTTGGCCACCTCTGCCAATTCTGCCTCTCCACAGTCCCCTGCCTTTCCCATAAAGGAAATGATGATCTGGATATGAACTTCATTTGGCCTTTAAGAATAGACAAATTGTACACCAGGCGAAAGGTCTACCAGGACCCATGCCTCGAACAGCACAGCAGAAACACTACATTCACAGCAGTAACTGAATTTCATCCATTTATATCTCACAGCCTCTACAACTGCATTAAGCAAAAATAAAAAAAAAAGATGGGTGAGAAGGATCCTGCCCTGCATACCAAGAATTTGATTTTCATGCCTTTTTTAGCCAATGCTGTAACTAGCCCGTATACTATTCTCTTTTCTCACTTTGCTCTTAGACTGCGGTGGTGTTGCCATGGGAATGTACAATCTTGACCTCTCCATCCAGGATTTTGCACATAGTTCTTTCCAAATGGCATTGTCTAAGGGCTGGCCTCTCTACATGAGCACCAAAAACACCATTCTGAAGAGATATGATGGACGCTTCAAAGACATCTTTCAGGAGATCTATGACAGGTAACTAATACATTTTGGGTACCTATAGATGTGCAGCAAAGGCTGCTCCAATGTGTTATAATTGCAGTGCATTGGAAAAGACTTGATTAATCGAGTCTGTTGGAGCATGGTAATTAACACGCTCCAACAGACTCCAGTGTCACGTGTATTAGTGTCCCCGCACTAAAAAATGGCAGTGGGGGGTGCTTTAACTAAAGCATGTTGAACGAGCTTTAGTTAAAGTGCTCCCGTTGCCATTTTTCAGCACTCAGACGCTGATGCCTATGATGCTCTGTGTGCTCTAATTAAAGTGACTCCTTAATTAATTTTTCCGGGATTTTCCCTGGGATGGAAGTTAGGTTAATTTGCCTGTAGTTACTCAGGTCCTCCCTTCTCCCCTTCTTGAAGATGGGTACAACATTGGCCCTCTTCCAGTCCTCAGGGACCTCTCCAAAATGCCACAAGGCTTCCGCAATGACTTTGGCCAGCTCCTTCAGCATTCTCAGATGAAGTCCATCTGGTCCTGCTGACTTTTATATATGTCTAATTTTTTTTTAATTGATCACACACCAGTTCTATGGCAATAGTAGGAAGGTGGTCATTCCTACCCTGCTCATTCTGTATGCTATCTGGCATAATTTTTCCCCTTGGCCTGGTGAAATACTGAAGCAAAGTAGTCATTTAGGAGTTCAGTTTTCTCCTGAATGTTGGTAACCAGCTCTACCGAGTTGTTGAGCAATGGCCCCACACTCCCATTTGTTTTCCTCCTGTTCCCTATATACTTAAAGAAGGACTTCTTGCTGTCCTTGATTCCTGTTGCAAATTTAAGTTCAGTTACCACCTTAGTCTTTGTAATCTGTCCCCTACAAGTGCGGGCCGCTGTTGTATAGTCCTCTTTGGGGTCTGTCCCAAGCTGCCATTATTTATACACCTCTTTCTTCTTTTTTTAAGAGGACCATAATTTCCCTGTTTAGCCATGAAGGCTTCCCAGCCCTTCTGCTACCTTTCCTCTGCATGGGAATGGACTTCTTTTTTGCTTCAAGGATCATGTCCTTAAAAAACAACCACTCCTCATGCACTCCTTTCATCTTCAGTCCCTGGTCCCACAACACTTCCCCTACTAATGACCTGAGCTTAAAAAAATGCAAATTTCAACAAGTCCAAAACTTCAACCCTGCTGTCTAATTTGTTTGCCTTGTAACGGACAGTGAACGTGATGGTTTCATGGTTGCTGTTGCCCAGGCTACCCTCTATATTTAAGTCGGTCACCAGGTTGTCTCCTTTGGCCAGGACCAAGTCTAGAAGAGCGTTACCTCTGGTTGGCCCATGCATCTCCTGAGCCAGGAAGAGCTCTTCAATGCAGGTCAGGAAGGAACGCAACCAATCCACCTTGGCCAAGTGTTCTTCCCAAGAGATGTCTGGATAGTTGAAGTTGCCCAGGTCCATTCCTCTTGGGCACAGAGCGCATGGAAGCTCTGGCCCCTGCTGGGCCACACAGCAGGGGCCAGAGACACCACTGGGGGACTGGAGACACCACCACCACCACCACCACCACCACCACTCGTGCATGGCTGGGCAGGGGCCAGTGCTTCCATGTGCTCTGAGGGGGCATGGAGCTGGAACGACACCTTACAGTTAACAGGAGGGGAGCACTGGGGGTGAGCAGAAGCTGTTGGGAGCTGCTTCCCCTCCCCTTCATGCCCTCCACCCTTGTCCTTTTACAGATGAGTCCAAGACAAGGGGTTCCCTTCCACCTACCTGTGTTCAATGCGGAAGGGAAAAAATGTCATCTTGGATTTGAGTAAACATGGTCATTCCTTTGACTAAAGCTGAGATGCCCTTGATTTTTCTCTTTGCATAAAAGTAAAACTGGACCAATTGATTTTTGAATGTGAACACAGTATATTAATTGCTTCAGTATTGTTTCCTCTAATTTCTCTAGGCATTTGGTTGCACTTCTAGCTAATGGGGGAGTTGCTTAGATTCTTTTCCCTTCCTTTGACCAGGGTACATGTCATCCTTGCATGCAAACATCATAAACAAGCTGCCTGTACAAATAAAAAATCCACATAATAAAAGGAAAAACCATGTAGTAAAATGTTTACAGACCTACCACATAGCAATCTTAAAGGTATCTCAACCTCATCATCCTTGTTTATTCTCCTCTCTTTGTCTACTTCCTTATGCAATTTATGGGACTTCTTTTTGCTTACATATAACACAGCCTGGAACAGAAATTATCAGGAGCTGCAATAGTGGGTTTTTTTCCTTTTCTTCCAGAGAATACAAGTCTCAGTTTGAAGCCCAGAAGATCTGGTATGAGCATAGGCTCATTGATGACATGGTGGCCCAAGCCCTAAAATCTGAGGGAGGCTTCATCTGGGCCTGCAAGAACTATGATGGTGATGTGCAGTCTGACTCTGTTGCACAAGGTATGAGCTATTTCTCTTTCAGTACATTGCTGGGATAAGCCCAGTACCCATCTTATACTCTGTACATCCTGCTGCCTTCCTGTTTTTATTCAAGAGGTGCATCTTAGGTCTACAAACAGCTTTTTGGTATGTTGTAGAGTAGACTTTGCAGGATTTCATATACGCCAGAAAATCTAAGAGACTGAAGCATGGCTTTAAAAAGTGAATCAGAATTAGCATTTTGTTTTAGATTTCTCTAGAACAGCAGTGTCAAGCTGGCCTCATGCCCTGGGCTGAATCCAGAGTGTGGGGCTCTTTTCAGGCCAGATCCAGCCCAGGGCACAAGGCAGTTTCAGCCAGAGGCACCTAGTAGTGGCTTTGGCTCTGACACAGGCATACGGCACACTGGCAGCAACAGGCCCATTAAGGAGGCTGGTCAGGTAAGTAGGTAGTCTGTTTCCAATTCTGGGCAACCACCCAGTCTTAATGGCATAATGTTTGCCTCCCCACTGGGCCTACTCTTAACACCCACCACCTCCCTCACCAATGCATGGGTTTAGAGCTTTAGTTAGCCCACCCCCACAGAGTCTTCTGGTACTTCCTAAGCCCTCACTGCCTTCTGCCCCAGGCAGAATCCACAACAGTTCCCCCTTTCAGAAGGTTGTCAGTAGCTTCCCCTACAGCTACCCCATGCCTTGTAGCAGAATTAAGCAAAGAACTGCCTTCATAACATAAAACCTAGTCCCACAAGTCCATCCTTTCAGGGTGCCTTCCCCCTGTCTGGGCTCTCTCACTGCCTCAGTCGTCCTCTTAGGAGCTCTTTTTGTCTTTGTGATCGGAATCAGACTGCTCAGTGAGCTCCAAGAGCTTATTTTAAATTATGGCTATCCCTTCCAGTCAATATGCAAATCAGTTTGGCTCTTAAAAGCATTGCTTCCATCTTTCCACATCTACAGTAATGGGGTCAGGGACTTGTTACAGCTCCCACTTTTTTACAACTTCACGCGCTCCTACCACAAGAAAAGGGAGGAATGACAGCCCAACTATAAAATAGTATGGGGCATTTTTTTTTCGTGGTTTTGTTTCCCCTTACCTGTCCTTGAGGCTTGTCAGAGTGATGCAGCATCAGGGAGTTCAGAGGAAACAACTTTTTCTTATAATCTGCAGGCTATGGCTCCCTGGGAATGATGACCAGTGTGCTGATTTGCCCAGATGGCAAGACAGTAGAAGCAGAAGCTGCTCATGGAACGGTTACTCGTCATTATCGCCTGCACCAGAAAGGTCAAGAAACCTCTACCAATCCCATTGGTAAGATGGCTTGTGCTTTTCTGAATGTTCTCTACCTCTGAAATACTCAACACCAGTTGTATTGTCTCTACAAGTTCCTACACTGCACAGTAACATACGTGCTAATTGTAAAGTGGTTGCACCTAGTGCCAGTGTGCTTCTGTGGACTCAAACATATACAGGTAGTCCCGTTGCCTGTGTGCCAGGTGGGGAGGAGACACTGGAGAGCGCACAGGGTGCATTGGTGCTCTGTTAATTTGGACAGCAGCATTAAAGCAGCCAGAACCCTTAGTGCAGGCACAGTTCTCCCAGCAGGAGAGAATCTTTTTGCCATTAGTTACACCAGCCTCCCAGAACAGAAGCTTTTCTGGGAAAAGGCCTCTCCTCCCAGGAGAGCTTCATCCACTCCCTGGGTTTTGCTAGCAGAGCCATGTCGGCTCTAGGCTGTGAATTTTTGGACACAGCTCTGCCAGCAGAATTTTGCAGTGTAGACAATGGCTGGAACTGGGCAAAGAGCAATGGACTATACAGTCCAAGCTATGGAAAGTTCTCTCATTCCCATATAATGCTACACTAGTGGCCTCATGTGTTTTCTTTTTTCCCCCCTTTCCAAATAAGTGCAAACAAGCATGATATAAAATTACGATATAAAACATCATCTGCAACTACATAATAGTACTCCCCCATAAGATGTTATACTTGCCAAGATTTAGTCTGATAGTTTGGGAGAGCAGAGTAGTTAATTGCACGCGACTTCATTTTTGCTCTGTTTCTTGTGTGCCACAAAGGGGAGCAAAATAGATGCTGTTTCTTAATTATTTATTTTTTTATTTATTTTTAAGGAAGCTACATGAGGTACAAAAAACATAGGAGGAACTGGCTTATACTTTCACCATCCTGCACCAGACGTTGATGGGAAACTCAGCTTTTTTAATTAACTTTAATCAATCTTCCATTTCTTAATTGGGCAACAAAGCACTTGTTTATAATCCATTGTGACTACATAGAAAATTGCAGCTGTTTCGTTGTTTCTCTAGTATATTGTCTTTCTCTCTTAGCCTCCATTTTTGCATGGACTAGAGGACTAGCTCACAGAGCTAAACTAGATAAAAACACTGACCTCAAGAACTTTGCCACTGCCTTGGAAGAGGTCTGCGTAGAGACTATAGAAGCTGGTTTCATGACAAAGGATCTAGCCGCCTGCATTAAAGGCTTGCCTAAGTAAGTACATGATGTCTTCACTGCAGCCATGCTGAAACTTAGCGGTGGCACAGCTCTTACCTACTGTAGGATAGTGGTCTATTTTAAATGTAACTTTAGTAGGATTCATGTTGCAGTAACATCTAGGAATCCCAGTCACAGGCCAGGACCCAGCAGTGCTTTTCTTAGATGTCTGTATACTGCAGACAGCTACAGCCTTAAAGGGTGCCTATACGCATGCTCCGACGTGTTCTAATTAGAACGCATCAGAGCAGTCTGCTCTGCATTCTAATTAGAATGACCTAGCATTGCTGCAGCATTGCATATATAAGTCCCTGCAGATTTAAAAATGGCCACTGAGGTGCTTTAACTAAAGCTTCTTTGGAAGCTCTCTTTGGAAGCTCTCTGAAAACTGCTCTAATTAAAACACCCCCACCCCTGAGCACACGTATAGGCACTCAAATATCTCAGGTTCTGAGTTGATCCATCCATACCATCTTGCCAAATAGTGTTGGGTTGCAAGTTAACTAAAGCTGACTTTGGTTAACCTGCCTGACTTTGGTTAGCCAAACCTGACTTTGAAACTGTGACAGTTATTACATTTAAACTCATATTTATTAAATACAATGTTTTAAACTTCCTAAAGTTTACAGAAAATCCATCAACTAATCATTTCTCACTGCTTTGCCCTTAACTTGCCCTTCTGTGGTAAACAGGATCACTTATTGAGAGTGTTTGGATGATCTTCCAAACAAAAAGAAGCTGCATATATAGATAAAAGAAAATGGGGCAAGTAAAACAAAGCCACTCAGACCTCTTGCTCACTTCCCAGCCTACACATAACAGTACAAAATTAACGCATTCAGTTTAATTTGAGCTGAGCATTAACTTTTTCCACAAGTAACTCAAGAGAAATTTGCACAATACTATTGTAGGCAAACTACACTCTTGCATTTTCCATATCTGTTGAAATGTCTAGACCAAGTGTTTAGTCTTTTTTTTTTTCCCCTTCCTTTCTTTAAACTGATGCAAATCAGACCTAGATTTGCAATTCTTCCAAGGATGGGTGAGAGCTACCTCAGGGGAGCATGCTAGTTTACTGACAAATCAGTCGGTTAATGCCTAACTTACCAAAGGTGGCATTTGTGTATGTATATGTATGTATAACAGCCAAAAATCCAGTTAGTATGTGTGAGGGTGTGTGCACACATGCTCGCATGTAACTGTCAAAGATCGCGATAGCATATGTGTGCATGTGTAACTGTCAAAGATCCAGTTAGCCCAGGGGCGGGCAAAATCCAGCCCGCAAGCTGAATCCAGCCTGCAGCACCCACGTACTAATTGTATCCTGCCCAGCCCTTCTGCTCACAAGAGTGGGAGTGAGGTGTCCATGTATACACATACCCCAACATAATCTGTTGCTCCTTGCTCCCACACTCATGGGTAGAAGGGCGGCCAGGATGCAGCTTCCAGGCGGGGCTGCTGCTTCTGCAACCACTGGGGTACCTGCTTGGCTTCCCCGGCGTCCTGCTTACTCTGGGCAGCAGGTAGGGAAGCAGCGGGGGTGGAGAGAGCTGCAGCTGGGTGGGAGGGCAGAGAATGGGGCTGAGGCTGGTGGCTGCATTCACGCCCAGGGGGGCAGCAGCAGCACAAAGCTCAGGTAGGGGATACCCCTCCACATTGTGCACAGCCCATGCCAGCAACAGCAACAGGCAGGTGGGGCTCAAGGCACACGTGCCTGGCACAGGCACCGCCACCCAGCGGCATGTGGCACACAGCTCCAGCCAGTGCTGCGCACCGGGGGGTGGGGAGCACAGCCCGGCTGAGCCACCCCTCTTGCCAGGCGTTCGTGCCACATATGTGCAGCTCCCACACTTGCACTTCTCTGGGGGAAGCCCCATGCTGGAGTTGACTGCCTTTCCCACCCCCTGCTGTGCAGGTACCTGGACACTGTGGAAAAGCAGGGGCTCCTTCCAGTGGAGTCCTGGGAGCTGCATGGCAGGGGCTGAGGAAGACCAGGTGGCTCCAGTGTGGGGCTTCATGTGGTGGTGCACAAGTGCGGGAGCTGCACATGCAGTGGGGAGCCCTTGCAATGGAGGTGATCCGGCTGGGCTGGGCTGTGCTTCTCACCCTCATGTGCAGCGCTGACCAGAGCTGCATACCTACAGGCGGCAGCACCTGCACTGGGCACAAGGGCCCTCACCTTGCTGCTGCTGGCAGGGGCTGTACGCCATGGGTAGAATGTGGCGGGGGTCCTCACACCCCACACTCATACCTTGCCCCCACATACCCTGTTGTCCCCCTCACACACAGCAACACTCCCCCACACTGCACCACATGCGCATACACATGCACACCCCCTCCCCGCACACAGCCCACCATCTTCCTGTCCTCTTCCCCTCTCCGCACTGCCAAAGATCCAGTTAGCATATGGGGCGGTGAGGTTGTGTGTGTATGTGTAACTGCCAAAGATCCAGTTAGTGTGCATGTGTAACTGGTCCTTGTTTTGACCACAAACTGCATGTGACTGGAGGGCTTCTGGCAATGTGGTGGGACTACTTGTGGCAGGGTAGCTCCTATAAAATACCACAGTACCACAACCTCCAGAGTAAGGTGAACTTAAGGTACCTCAGAACCCTAGCCGCCACTGCTTTGTGGGTATTCCTTGGATGGAGAGGGCTAAGGGACATCACCCTGACAAACATGCCTTCACTCAGGTGTTGGGCAATCAGCAACAACTTTATTCTCTTGCACTGGCAGAAACTACAGCCATCGAGGCACTGAATGTCTGGACTTTGGTCTGGCCTTCAGACTCTGTCTCAGTGGTCTAAAGGAGGGTGGTAGGCCTAGGGCAGCCTCTACACCTCCATGCTCTTGCCTGGGTGTACACACTGAAGGTCTTGGTGTGATCTATATTGGCCAAAATGACAGAGTGACTCGCATGCTGGAATGTTTGGACTCTGACCCCTGGGCTCGATTCAGACTTATGGGAAAACAGCACTACTACACTATGAATTGGTTAGACTCAGAATTGACGTTGCTGCATTATCAGAAACTCAGGTCTCAGTTACAAGCTCTATCCAAGAGAATGATCACACCATGTTCTGGTATGGGAAACCAGGAAGAGAAAGGAGAGAGCAGGGAGTAGGCTTTGCTGTTAGAAACAGCTTATTGTTCTTCTGTAAAAGCCCCAATTGCTGTATCTGTTCAACTCATGATGCTTGAAGTGCATATACAGAATGGCTTCTTTGCGTTATTTAGTGTATATGTGTCTACTCTTCAAGCCAGCAATAAAGACAAGAATGTTTTCTACTAGCAACTTGAAGAAGAAATTAAGACAACTCTTAGAAATGAGGCCGTTATAGTACTTGGTGACTTTAATGCAAAAGTTAGATGTAGTTTTATGAATTGGCCTGGTATTCTGAGCAAACACGGAATTGGTAATATAAATAAAGATGGCCAGTGAGTGTTAGAACTTTGTTCAAGTCAATCTATGCATTACCAACACTGACTTTGCTGGGAAAATCATAAGAAAGACATTGTGGAAACATCCAAGATCAGGGCACAGGCACCAGTTAGATTTAGTACTGACCAGGCATAACTACCTGAAACAAATCCTGCATACAAGGTCTTGTCACATTGCTGACTGTAACGCTGATCATGCTTTAATATGCTGCAAAGTTAGAATCAATGTCAAATAGATCCACCATAGCAAAACTACCAGTCGTCCTCAAATAAATATCAGCCAAAATAAAGACATGATAAAACACAGACTATTCAATGAAGAAGTTATTGTGAAATCAAGTTTACCTAACAACTTGATCACCCTATCTTGGGAAAACTCAAAAACTAAACATGGACAATACTGTTATAACAGTGTTTGGCAAAAAATGCAAGAAAAATGCAGGCTGGTTTGAAGAGTACTCTGAAACCCTTTGAAAACAAAAGGACAGTGCTAACCAACTATAAGGAATCAACCAACACCATAACCCTAGAAAGTCTGAGAACAGCTTGAAGAGAAATGCAAAAGGAGGCTAAGAGGTGTGCCCAAAACTTTTGGCTGAAACTGTGAAGATATTCAGAAAGCAGCTAATGCAAGTGATAGCTTTGGAACGTACGAGGATGTTAAGTGAGCAACTGGTCCAGTCGAGAAGAAAACGGCTCCACTGAAAGTCTTAGATGGAAATGCTATTACTGACAAACAAAAACAACTTCAGTGTTGGATTGAACACTGGAATTTATATACTCCAGTACGACTGAAATCAAACATGAAGAGCTTGAAGGATTACCACAGTTTGAAGTTAGGATGGATTTAGACGATGAGCCTACATCTTGGCTGGAGTCTTCTCAGGAGTCTTGGCTACAGGTTTTTCTGGAGTCTTGTCTGCTTTCTTAAAGAAAGTGTCTGAGGAAGTTTGGACAGATATTCTCCAGGGAGATGGGTGATGCAGCAAACTTGTTTGCTGGTGTGGCGTGGTGTTGGATCAAGCATTGTAAAGTAGAAACTGATGTCAAATAGTTGAAACCAGGGTGTCAATTTATAAACGTTGTAAGTGTGAAACGTAAGTTGAGGACTGCCTGTATAAAGAAAAACAAATACCACTGACATGGCCTTCATTGATCTGACAAAGGCCTTTGATACAGTCAATAGGCAGGGTCTTTTTACTGTTCTGAAGAAACTGGGTTGTCTCCCCAAACTGTTGAACATCATTCACTTCTTACATCAAGGTTTGAAGGCAACTGTAGTGTATGAAAACAAGGAATCATAGTATCGTAGTAGTATCATAGTACTTGGGGTCGGAAGGGACCTAAACAGATCATCAGGTCTGACCCCCTGCCCCAGGCAGGAACAGGTGCTGGGGTCATATCGCCCCAGCCAAATATCTGTCCAGCCTCCTCTTGAAGACCCCCAAGGTAGGAGAGAGTACCACCTCACTTGGGAGCCCATTCCAGAGCCTGGCAGCCCTAACTGTTAAGTAATGTCTCCTGATGGCTAGCTTGAACCTTCTCTCTACTGAGGTTCTTTGACATCCACTCTGCCCCGACAGGAGGGGCCTGATGCCTTTGACATCAACAATGGAGTGAAATGGGGGTGTGTCTTAACCTCTGTGCTTTTTAATATCTGTTTTTCATTCATTCTTCTTCATGCATTCAC